ATATTATAGTATAATTTTTTATTAATAATTTATTTTAAAATATTAAAATTTAATTTATAAATAATTGTAATAAATAAAAATTAAAATAGAAACAAAAATTAATTTAAAAAAAAACTTTTTCATTAAAACAAACACTAAAAACATTTTGATATAAAAACATTTTATATATAAAAATTAATTTTGTAAAATAAAAAATAAAAATGTAACATGTAAAATGTAAATATCTACTTAAATTGTACCTGCCGTTATTATTTCCTATTTATACTCTCACAGACTCCCACTTTTTCTATTTGATAGACCTCGTAACAAATTATCCTTGAAAACAGACTATTCTCCTTCGGCTGCTCTTTTTTTTTTTTTCTTCAACCGTTTCATCTTTTCATCATCTGAATCAATCATTTCGTCTCTTTCTCCAGGTACATAATTCTTTATGGTATTGTTTTACATTTCCAAATACAGTATCTGATTTTTTTATAGATCAAGTACATTTCTCATCTATTACTCATAGGCGAACATAGTTTTAGGAGATCAAGTACATTTCTCATCTGTTACTCATAGGCGAACATAGTTTTAGGTTAAGTTTTGCTATTCTGTATGAGATGGACTGAAACTGACAAACAAAGGAAAGTTTAAAACTTGAATCCAAAGGAAGATGAAAGAAAAGTTATTATTTTTTTTCCTTTTCTATTTTAATCAAATAAAAGAAAATGAATCGTCATTTATATCAATTTTCTTTATTCTTCTCATCTAATAGTTTCATTAGTTTATTTTATTTTATTTTTTTTACTATTTTCACTTGTGTTTATTGAACTTTTCCGATAAGTTTTTAAATTATTAATAGAAATTGTATTACTAAAAGTTATTTATTTTTTAATTTAATTTTTATGTATTGCCAGAAATTTTTGTAAATAACAACTGATAAAAACCATTGTTATTATGAGTTTTGTGAGACAACTATCATCAATTTTACCAAATCTGAAATATATAGGTTTATGTGTATAAAAAGATTTTGTTAAGAAAGACAAAATTTGCTCCTATATATATATAATGTGTATTTTTTGATTAAAAATCTGTTAAACATGATTTATATTTTTATAGTTTTGTTCTAGGAAATGTGATTCATTACAGGAAAATCAGATTAAAAAAGGTGATTGAGAAAAAAATTTCAGTACAGATAGATTGTGACAATGTTAATAAAAAAAATAAAAATGAGAGTGATTTTCTTTAGAAGTATTTTTTTAATCAAAATTGAATTTTACCTTGTTAAATATTACACTAAATGTAATTATATATTATCAAGATAAAATACTAATTATGATTAGAAAATAACATCAACAATGTCATTACATATAGTATTACATATAAATTTTGCCATTTTTAAATTTAAACTAGTATTTAAGTATGCACAAGTTAAATATTTATAGCTTAAATATGTTTTAAGTCCCTCAAATTTAGGATAAATTTATTTTTAGTCCTTAAATTTAAAATTATTATTTATAGTCTCTATAATTTTAAAAAATCTTATTTTAGTCCTTATATTCAAATTTTGTTAAGAAATTTATCAAATATTATTATATAAAATTTATCTATTGGTATCCCTGTTAGTGAAAATATCACATTAAATCCAGTTGATATTGCATAACTGTCTTAATTTATCACTTTCCAATATATTATTAGTGACATGAGAGACTAAAATAAAATTTTTTAAAATTATAAGAGTTAAAAATAATAGTTTTAAATTTGAGGAGACTAAAAATAAATTTATCTTAAATTTGAAAGAGTAAAAACATATTTAAACTAATATTTATTATATATAACTAAAATTTAAAATAAATTATATGTATAAATAAATA